GCTGGACTCGAACCGCCGAAGCGTCGACCATTTCTGGCCGGCAACTTTCAGTGTCATTAAGCCGCCGCGCCACCGCATAATAATTGTTAACTCTTTAATGCCCTTAATATAACAAAACCATTTTTTTTCATCTTTGTGAGCAGGTTTTCCACACGTTCATCAAAAATTTCATACAAGACACTTGCAATTTCTGAAGATCTGCATGCAGTTTTATTTTCTTGAAAGGTTCTTGGAACAGGGTTCTCCATCCATTAAGTCAAGAGACCCCTCCCTACAGCTACCAATTGCAACTCCCCTTATCCACAGCCTGCACTGGCAATGATGGCTAAGGAGTAATGTGATTTTTAATCCAAATGCCGGAAGATGTTATGTCGGAGAACATACATTCCAATAAATGGTATACTCTTAGATGTTTCACAGCTTAGCCTCTGCACTATCCAGAGAGCAGGAGAAACCAAGGTGAGGAAAATTAAAGAGCTGCAGATAGCTCTGATGGCTGAAAGGAAGAATAATGGGAACCTGGATCCAAAGTGAACTCTGCAGTCATGTATTAGAAAGCAGAATGTTCCAGCTATAATGAAGCTACCATGGAAGGATTTTGCCCAGAAAAGGTGGAATTTAAGTATTTTTAAAAAATAAATATGCTTCTATGGTTTTAAAATACTATTTCAAAATCATCCAGCATATCCACAGTACCAGCACAATATAATCATGCAAAGGTTCTAGTGTTTTACAACAATGAAGTAAATGATGAAGCCTACAGTTCAATTAGAGAATGCAATTCAGAATGGTGAAGTTGTTTGAAAATCTGGCATGTTGGTTTAATTTAAAAGAGAATTATATATCAAATATATATATCAAATACCATGTGCAGGCTCACAATTGGTGTATTCAGAGAAGAGAACAGGAAAGGAACAGGAGAAATGGAGAGGCGATGGTGTAATTGCATGGTTTGAAGCTACTCCATCTCTCCTCACACACATCCCAAATGGAAACATCCTTACCTTCAAAAAGTGTGCTTCTATCTATTCCAGGACTTAAGGGTTTTTCCCTGTTGAAAGGGGAAAAAATGGTAAAAAGGAGAGAAACAGGGAGCCCCCCCCAAAAAAACACCTCCAACCCAACAACTTCATATCAGTACACCATGACAGAACCACATCCCACTTTGGAATTTGTTTTTCTCATGCAAAAGCATATTTAAATGTTTATAAATACAGTAAGTAAAATAAAACAAGCCATTGCCAATGGACATTAAAGGGTCCATCTGAAATCAGTTGGGGCTTTTAGGGAACAGTGAAAAAGCACAAGCACAGACTTGTGATTGGTCAGGAGCAGAATCACACCTGTGGTCTTTCCTCCACAAAAACAGTGGACCCCACACTGAATCTTGTGAGAACTGTCAACCTTTTTACACATAAAAACAAAAACAAATACCTAAAAAGTATGGTCAAGAACATATTTGGAATTTTAAATAAATCAAATCTGGATTTTTAACAGTATCCAGATCTCTCAGCTGCTGGTTTCACTATTTACAGTGCATTTGGAAAGTATTCGGACCCCCTTCACTTTTTTCAGTTTTGTTATGTTGCAGCCTGATACTACAATTGTTCAAATT